CCCTAACTAAAAAAAAAAAAATAAAAAATATATATATATATATATTAGGTCATGACGTCACTGCACTGAACCATCAGAGACTTCGATTTGTTTATTTTGTAACCCTGAAATCTTTATCTTCGTATATTTTGCAGCTCTGAAATCTCTACTTCCGTTTATCTTGTCACACTGTAGTCTATATCTATGTTTATTATGTCACAATGTAGTCTTTATCCCTATGTATTTCGTCACACTGAAATCTTTACTTCTGTTTATTATGTCACATTGTAGTCTTTATCTCTGTTTGTTTTGTCGCACTTCAGTCTTTATCTCTGTTTATTTTGATGCAATGCAGTTTTCTCTCTATTTATTTTGTAACACTAAAATCTTTACTTCTGTTTATTTTGACGTACTGTAGTTTCTATTTCTGTTTATTTTTGTCGCACTTAAGTCTTCCTCTCTGTTTGTTTTGTTAAGGCAGTCTTTACTTCTGTTTATCTTGTACCACTGAAGTGTTTACCTGTGTTTATTTTGTACTACTGAAGTATTTTCCTGTTTATTTTATACACCGAAGTCTTTACTTCTAACAGAAATTTAAATTATTCTTAGCGAATTTCAAAGACATGCTGTCAGGTAAAGGAAGAAATAAATAAAAAGGCTCGTCAGCAACAGTTGATTTACAAAGTGTCGTAGCACTTGATGTTGTCTTTAAATACTTTTATTTTACTTACCACCAGTCAAACATTTTTGTCACGAAATTACACAGAATCGCATTTATGTTACTCATATTAATGAAACACACACAGCTCAAACATTCGTATTTTGTACTATCAAAACACCAAACGTTAACAGATCCTTCAACACGTGTACTATGTTATATTTATATCATCAAAACACCAGCCGTTAATCAATCCAATAACACGTATAGTAGGTAGTATTTATACTTTTAAAATAACAGCAGTTAAATGCTTCAAAAACACGTGTAACCTGTACATTTTGTACCTTCAAAATCCAGCAGTTACTTGAGCCAATAATTTGTATATTATGTACTATTTACACCTTCAAATTACCACCAATTAACTGATTCAATAATACATATACTATGTATCATTTGTAGAATAAGTTACTAGCCGTTAATTGATCGAATAAAGCGTGTACTATATACAATTTGTATTATCAATTTACAGCCGTTAACTGATCCAATAACAATTGTATTATGTACTACTTACACTATAAAAACACGAACCGTTAACTGATCCAGTAACATTTACACCATAAAAACATTAGCCGTTAAGTAATCGAATAACACTTGCGCTATGTACTGCTATACCATCATAATACCAGCTAATAACACAGGCCTGCGATGGTTTTATTGTCTTGAAATTTTTCCATGTTCTTCAGTAATTATTTTACGCTGAATATGAAAATGATATCCATTTTCCTCCACCACGTACAGATTTTTCAGAAAACGTCATAACACCTTTGACATAATGTTTTTCCTTTTTCTTCAGTTTGTTTGTATTTTTGTTAACAAGCATAATAATAAAAAATGTTCATTGTGTTAAACGAAATAATAATTTGATCTAAGTAAGAGTTTTCCCCCCGACCTGTAAAATATCCTTACGTGATAGAAAAAAAAATGAATATTGTTTTCGAAATCTGCGTAGCTGAATTATGGAAAATACGTTACTAAAGCCAAAACAACTGTGTAATTGGTATAATAAAACGTGTATTATGTGTTACATATGCCATCAAAACATCAACTGTTAACTGATCTGATACAATAATAATATGTGCTATTTTAACATCAAAACACCAACCGTTACCGCATGTATTATTTACTATTTGTACTATCAAACATCAGCTCGTAACTGATCTAGTAAAACGTGTACTATGTATTATTCAAAACATGAAAAACAATCGTTAACTAATCCGATAATGCATGTATTAATTACCATTTTTACTATCAAACATCATCAGTTAACTGATCCAATAACACGTGTACTATGTACTATTTGTGGTAAAAAAAATAGCTTAAAACGTTTTTCTAAGTACTGTTTAATAGCTCTACAGATGCTCTTTCTTGTGCTTTCTCAAAACTTTGATGATTTTAGATTAAAAAATAATCAAGCGATTTTGCTTAATATTAACAGGTCTAGAAAGTATTTTAAATACCATGCAGATATAAGTTACTTGAGATTCATAATATCCTTAACTTAAAACGTCATCATGGCACGACTAATCTTCCATGTGGTTTTCATTAATGTATTTAATGTTTAGGTTAACAGCCACGTTCATGAGGTATTTTAAAAGCACCAGTGTTGAAAATTTAACATGCTTGCACTGATCCGAATAAATACTGATCTTACCAAAAAGTGAAGTTACCGACTGCAAGAATCAGTCAGTAAGTACATAAAGCTAACTTACAGAGATTGACAAAAGTCGTTTTCGAAAATTTGAGCAAGAAATAGAAATGAAATATCCTTTAGTTACCGCCCAATATATTATAAGTCTGTATAACTTTTATTAGATACTTCATTTAGTAAATAAGCCTGTACAACTTAATTACTTAAATTAGTAAACCAGCCTGTATAACTTAATTACTTAAATTAGTAAACCAGCCTGTATAACTTTTATTAGATGCTTCATTTGGTAAACCAGCCTGTATAACTTTTATTACATGCTTCAATTAGTAAACCAGCCTGTATAACTTTTATTAGATGCTTCAATTAGTAAACCAGCCTGTATAACTTTCATTACTTGTTTCAGTTAGTAAACCAGCCTGTATATCTGTTATTAGATGCTTCATTTGGTAAACCAGCCTGTATAACTTTCATTAGATGCTTCACTTAGTAAACTAGCCTGTATAACTTATATTAGATACTTAACTTGGTAAACCAGCCTGTATATATGCTTCGTTCAGATAACCAGTATGGATAATTTTATTAGTTACTTCATTTAGTAAACCATCCTGCATGACTTTTATTAGATACTTCACTGAGTAAATCTGTATGTATAATTTTTATTATATGCTTAACTTAGTAAACTAGCTTGTATAACGTTTATTAGATACTTCACTTGGCTAAATCAGCCTGTATAATTTTTATTATACGCTTCACTTGGTAAACCAGCTTGTATAACTTTTATTAGATGCCACACTTGGTCAAAAAGCCTCTATAGCATTTATTAGATACTTCACTTGGATAAATCATACTGTATAATTTTTATTATATGCTTCACTTGGTAAACCAGCTTGTACAACTTTTATTAGATGCTACACTTGGTAAAACAGCCTCTATAGCTTTTATTAGATACTTCACTTGGTATATATGCATACATATAATTTAAGGACAACAAGGGACCTGTTAGTCCATCTAGGCCGTCCCATCCATTATATTAAACTCTAATAAAAACACTACAATCCAGTACCTATAATTCAAATACTTATTAAACCTTCCCTTAAACCCTCTTACATTAGCTGAATCTACCATACCCGAAGGCAACCCATATCAAAGACCAATCACTCTTTTAGAAAAACAAACTTGCCTTAGTTGAAGGTGACTCCTTCCCTGCGAGAATTTATATTTGTGTCTCTTTAATCTTACCATTCTGATCATTAAATACGAATTAAATACTACACATTCCTATAATTGTAATCTTACCATTCTGATCATTAAATACGTATTAAATACTACGCATTCCTAAAATTTTAAACAACTCAATCCTAGTATCTCATCTCTGAACTTTTTTTAACAATTCAATGTTCTTTTTAAGGTATATAACCAAAGATTAAACACAGTATTCCAAATTTGGCCTAACCAATGACCTATATAATGACAGTATAACATCTTTGTTATCAACCTGACTGAACTCCACTTATAACAACCTTCTACTTTCTTCTAGCCAGCCAGTTTTCTATCCAATGAGACACTCTATAGCATTTTAAAGACTTGTATT